CATACATTGGTTTTAGATGGATATTTTTAATTACTTATTTAGAAATATCACTCCATGTCTATATTTCATTGGGTTTTAAGTATAAATTAGTGTTTTATTTTGTCAAGTGCATTTTCTTACATCCATTGAGATAATTCTGTTGACCATTTCCCTAATATTTAAGCATCCTTGCATCTTAGTATGAATCCAACTTGATTATAATTAATGATTTCTTCAATGAATTGCCATAGTCTGGCAGGATCTTATTTAAAGTTTTTGAATTGATATTCTACAGTTCTCTACTTTATCCTTCCTTGGTTTGGGTATTAGAATATTTGTCTCATAAAAGAAGTCTGGGAGATTACTTTCTCAAATATTGAGGATAATTAGTATAGTATTGCTTGTAATTGTTCTTTAGAGGTTTGATATGATTCTTCTATAAATCTATTAGAACTAGGAGGTTTTTTTCCTTTGGTATTTCCTTTATAGCTAGTTCTTATTCCTTTTATGAGACAGGCTTTCTATGAAAACTGTCTTTCTTCTATCTTTATCTTTGTTGTTTTATAAGAAAATTGTTGTTTTTGTTGTTCAATTTTTCAGTCACGTCAGACTCTTTTTGACCCCATGGACCACAGTGTGTGCCATGTCCTTTTATCCTCCACTATATTGCTCATGATATATATGTATATCATATGTATATATATGTATATGTATACACATATGCACACTAATACCATCCTTCTCCATCTGGTTTAATGGAGCTTAAACTCTAAACTGTTATTACCCTTGGCTGCCAATTTTTTCTCCTTGGCAACTAAGTCAATTGTTTGATGAATAAGGAGATTTTTTTTTGTCCTTTAAATCTCTTCAATATGGAAATTGATTTGTATTGTTTAAGCTTACATGAAAAGTTATTATGTTCAATATTGTTATTTCCTGTATCCACTTCCTACCTGTTAATATTGAAAATTTGTTTAAATAGCATGTGTCATAATTGTTTAAATTGAATGCTATATCCTTTTAAGATTTTCCCCTTTAATCTAGTATTGGATTAATTTTGATCTTATCTCTACTAAGTCAGTAGTCTGACTCTATATAGACAATTGATTCAGGAATGTTCTCACATCAATATGAATTGTTTCCTATATGTTAAACTGTAATCAATTTCATCATGCGATTTTTTTCAGGGCTTGTTAGTTCAGGGCCTTTTGATATTTTCTTGAAGAAAGTATTCATGATTTATTGTCATCAAGCTGTGATACTGTCTCCAAGTATTTGTCCTTTTTATTATTTATATTCAAATCATATTTTCCCACATTTTCCACTATTTTTTATGCCCCCTTTGTACTAAGGCCAACAAGTATCAAAGTATATGTTAATTTTATTTGGAAGATATGAAAGAGTTCTTCATAGATTTTTTTTTCCTTGTCATTCTCTGGAACAAATTTTGATGTGTAAGCTGAAGTCATTTTAAGGGTAGCATTTTTGCAAAAGTTTGTTATAAACACTGCAATAAAAGATGACCAAATATCCCAAAATATGATTTTTGTTGTGGTCCTTGGATGCAATCAACTCTTCCAACTCATTTATGAGGCTTCCATGTATCTGTGCTTTCCTACTCTCTTCTGGTTTGTTCATGATAAGAATGTTAATGTTTATGCAATTCAGTTTTTCTAGTAGTATGTTTACTTGGTAGTGATCTTTGGAAAATCATATAACCATTTAGAGTACCAATAGCTAAATTAATGTTTATAGACATTCCAAAATTTAATTCCTAGTATCTTCTTCCCTCATTTGTCACTGTCACAATTATTGTAGAAGCATAAGCAGACTACACAGGACAGTGGGCCATTTGCAGGGGTGGGGATGGCCATGGACAAAGAATTCATTACCAACTGACCAGACTATTCCGTGTTTAGTTAGGCTGGTCCTTATATGGCAGACATATTCTGTGGCTGTATTTGTACTCACTGATTTTCCAGTATGGTAAAAGCTTTAAGAGCACAGAATCATCTCTGTACCAAGATGACACATCCAGTAGAACTTTGTTACCTTCTTGCAAGTTTAAAAATTTTCAGAAGGAACATTAATTGGAATTTTTGGGGAACAGTTTTATTGCTGATAGTCTGCAAACTCACCATTTAGTGAACACAAAATAACATGCAAAAACTTTTTGAGGAACTTATATCATTCTACTGAGCCACATCACACTTATCAATTGTAGGAGAAGACTTCAAGATATTTCTAGAGTGAAAAGGTTGTTGGTGAGGCAGTGGAAAAGTCCAGAGAATCAGGAATAAAGCTGGGAGTGAAGTCTAAGTCATCTTTTTTGAGTTACTCACAAGGTAAGATCTTTCTCCCCTAAATATTTGCTGTCTTTCCTTCCTTCAGATCCTTGTGAATTTAGTCCCTTAATGTCCTCCGAACTTGTTTCCTCATCTTTAATCTCTTAAGTGCTATTACTGTCTCTTATAAGCAGAATCTTGGAGTATTGTTCTTGGTGGCAAAAAGAGTTTGTTAGAAAAACCTATGCAGATTCCTTTCCATGTTTTTCTTTTGTTTGTTGACCTTCCATTTTCTTCCTTATATATCTTGAGTGTTTTTGCTTAATTGGATATCTTATCAAATTTTCTTTAAATTGGGTTTGCTTTCACTTCTCTGTTTTTCATGGTAATACTGTTCATAATCTCTAATCATCTTTCCCTGTAAGATTTGATAAATAAATATTTATTGTAAGCTAGTGTAGCACTTGCTATCAAATCTCTTTGCCCAGTGAGTGCCAAGTTCTTGTTGACTAAGAATGTTTTTAGGTTCTTTAGGTGTGAATAGGTCATAGATTTAGAACTGGAAGGGATCTCAGAGGACATCTCATTCCAACCTCTTTATTTAAATGGTGAAAAATGAAGACTGTGAGAGGACTTTAAGAAAATAATTTAAGATTTGTTCAAGGTCACACAGTAGTAAGTGCTATTTGGACCCAGGCCTTCCAGACTGCAAGTACAGCATTCTATGTTTTGTTTGGTTCCCTTATTATGATAATTGATTTATATTGATTTAACTTCTTTATGAAATTTCTGTAGTCTAGGTCTAGGTCCTTTCTTCTGTCCATTTTTCAACATCGATAACCTATTAAAATATCTCAGGATGAAGTGTTAATTGCACTCCAATATATATTTCTCTTTTTCCTTTTATATTCATACTAATTTTGATATTTTATCTGAGAAGTTGGTGGTATGATTGTACATATACAATTGATATCAGAAATAAGTAATTTATGTCTGTTAAAATATAGTCAATTTCATTAAAAATTTATTCTGTGCCTGTCATGTCTAGAATTTCAAATTCTTTTCTAAAAGGAAGTGTGCATGACATATATGGTTATGAAGCTTCTGTACAGCCCATAGTCTTTGGTAATTTATTCCATGTTTCTGGTTGATATTTTCTTATGTATCTCAACATCGTCATTTATCACCTTTGCATTGAAGTCACTGAGTTCATGAATTAATACGTTAATTTGCTTTGGAGAATTTTAATGAGTTTATTTCACCTACAGAGGATGTTGGTGCAAAAGCTAAAATTATTTTCATTAAATGTCCTATAAAATGATATTTTTCATTGCCTTTGGGCACATAATTAAACCAGTTCCTTTATTTGTCTCTTTAAGGAGAATTTGTCAGACATCTTCCCCTTAGGTATGACTTCTTTCTTTTTCTTGTTTTGTATAGTAAAAAAATAAAGACTAATACATTTTTGGTTTGGTCATTGGATGGAAATCTCATATTTTCTATTTTATTTTGTTTCATTGGTTGCTTAGTGTAAAGTCATGTGGATAATAACAACTTACATTTGGGGGCAGCTAAGTGGCGCAGTGGATAGAGCACTGGCCCTAGAGTCAGGAGGACCTGAGTTAAAATCTGGCCTTAGACACTTGACACTTACTAGCTATGTGACCCTGGGCAAGTCACTTAACCCCATTGCCTAGCCAAAAAGAAAAAACAACTTACATTTATGTAAGATATTAGGTTTAGAATAATTTTCCTTACAACAATGGATAGGTAAAATAAGTATTATTATACTCGTATTTTCCAGATGGGAAAATTAAGGCCCAGAGTTAGAACATTGGATTTGGATTTAGAAAGATGAGTTCAAATTCTGCCTTAGACCCTGCTTGTACAACCAACTCTGATTAAGTCACTTAAATTATCATAGCCTTAATAAAATGGGGACAATATCTACATCCCTGGCTTCATGCTGAGGTCAAATGAAATAATATATGTAAAATATTTCGAAAACCTTAAAGTGTCATATAAATATTAGATATCATTGTGGTTTATAGCTGTTGTTATTAATATTTTGGTCCATGCCTGTGATTTCATTAATGTAGAGAATACCTAGTAAAAAAAATTCATTCTGTTAATATAGTGATAACTCTTCAATTTATAGTTTTAGCTTGGAGCACTGAGAATCACTTGCTCATGGTCACACAGCCAGTGTGAGAGATAAAGGACTTCAGTCCAGATATTGTTGACTCACTGGCCAGCTTTCTATCCTCTGTGTTACACTGTCTCTAACATTATTATTAACAATAATAATAACAACATAACTTGTCACAGTCACACAGCCAGAAAGTGACAAGGCTGGGATTTGAATCTACATCTTTTAACTTTAAGTCAGGACATTTCACTTATTGCCTCAGTAATCAGCTTCAAGTTGTATCTTTAGACATTTCAAACAACAGATATCAAAATGTTTTGCTGTTGGTAATCATATCATGCCTATAGATATAGCTATTTGACAAAATATTTTAGAATGTTTCAGTTGTCAAAGATACTCTAAAGATACCAAAAATTAAAGCAGAATAAATTCTATGTCATTGAATCCCTCTGCTTGACTTATAGTTCTGATGTCTTTGGTCTTTGTGCATGATTTTAATATTTCTTATGTTAATGGATGGCCATTAGCACTTACATCACTATTTCTTTGCATGACTACAGGTCTATTTCACCACTTTGACAGAATCAATGGGTGGGTACAATACAACCTCTTCCTCTGACTTCATCCTTGTGGGGCTCTTCAGCAACAGAGAAACCTCAGGCCTCCTTTTTGTTATTGTCTGTTCTATTTTCTTCACGGCCCTGGTGGCCAATGGGATCATGATCTTCTTAATCTACACAGACCTCCACCTCCATACACCTATGTACTTCCTGCTCAGTCATCTTTCCTTCATTGACATGATGTATATCTCAACCATTGTGCCCAAGATGCTTGTGGACTACATATTGGGACTGACGACCATCTCCTTTGTGGGATGTACAGCTCAGCACTTCCTACCTTACTTTAGTGGGGGCTGAATTCTTTCTGTTAGGCCTCATGGCCTATGACCGTTATGTAGCCATTTGTAACCCTCTGCGCTACTCCATCCTAATGAATCGAAGGGTCTGTCTTATGATCATAGCTGGCTCTTGGTTTGGTGGTTCTTTGGATGGCTTTCTACTCACCCCCATCACAATGAGCTTTCCCTTCTGCGATTCCCGAAAGATCAATCATTTCTTCTGTGAAGCACCTGCTGTGCTGAAATTAGCCTGTGCTGATACGGCTCTCTATGAGACTGTGATGTATGTGTGCTGTGTACTGATGCTACTGATTCCCTTTTCTGTGGTAATTGCCTCCTATGCTAGGATTCTCACTACTGTACATCGTATGAGCTCAGTGGAAGGAAGAAAGAAGGCCTTTACCACCTGTTCTTCACATATGACAGTAGTGACTCTATTCTATGGTGCAGCCATGTATACATATATGTTGCCCCATTCATACCACACCCCAGCCCAGGACAAAATTCTCTCTGTGTTCTATACTATCCTTACTCCCATGCTTAATCCCCTCATCTACAGCCTGAGAAATAAGGATGTGGCTGGAGCCATGAAAAGGGCCGTGGGGAGATGTAAAGCTTCACAAAGGGTGGCAGGTACATTCTAACAGAGAAAGTCTTCATATTCAGTTTTTAACCTAGTGTTTATGATGTCCTTGTGGTTGTGACTCAGGGACTGAGCCAGAAAGATAACTATTTATAAATATAAAGAAGATCACATGTTTTTTCCCTCCCCTGCCTTTCTCTCTCCCTCCTTTCCTTCCTTCCTTCCTTCCTTCCTTCCTTCCTTCCTTCCTTCCTTCCTTCCTTCCTTCCTTCCTTCCTGATGAGGTTGTCTCATCAATTTATTAGCCTTCCAAAGTGATATTTAAGGCCATCCTAAGAAATAATCAGAGTAGGTTACTTTCTACAGCCTATGTGAAGACTGTTTCCCATAGCCACTCATCACAGTATCTGAAATTCTATTATTGAAGCCTCTCTTCTTCGAGGTAAGCATTAGATTTGTTAAAAATTAATATCACATGAAGGGTATGGAGTACTTATGGATTGCTAATGTGCTCATGTTAATTACTTTTATAGATTCTTTCTAAATAAAACCAGAGCCCAGGAAGGTCTTGGTAGCCAATGGGAAGGAAGAAGAAATGTGATATGTAGAGAGAAGAGATTTGAAAAATGGGAGAAAAGTGTGCAAAAAGATATGTAGGACACAACTAAGGACAAATTTAGCCTTCTTCAGTGTTACCAAGATTGTCCTTGACTAACTCACACTGAACTCAGTGATGGGAACTAATTCTTGTTGCACGCACATAGTCCATAATGGCCATAATAACTTGATGTAATGGACTATATATAAACCCACATTTATATAGTGCACTACAATTCCTTTTCTTCTAGCCACACCACGAGGTAGATAGTACATGTATTATTACTTTTTTGTAGATGAGGACACTGGAGGTTAAGTGACTTGCCTAAGCCTAGCAAGTAGCTAGTAGCAAGTAGCAGACTGATTTCATTCTAAATCTAGTGACCTTTTTTCCTCCTTAAATCTTAATTTCACTGCCATAATTTAAAGATCGGAATAACATGAAATAGTAGGAGAGAAGACATGTTTGCATAAGGACTAATTCAACTTTCAAATAAGGGATTTACCTGTTTCGGGGGAGAATTGAGGTGCTAGTGGGAAATCAACACATAAATAGGAAATTTGTTAATTGTGATAAAGCTCATCCAACCACAGGTCCCCACACAAAGCCAAAGCAAAGTCTACTAAATAGTTTTCATTGTCCCTATTGTATGATTTTCCTCTTGGTCTATTGCAATATGTGGTAATATACTTATTTTAATCTTTATTAAATATATTTCCTTCTGGAAAACAATGGCATGGGGAAAGAGTGCTGGATTTGGAGTCAAAAGATCTCAGTTGGAGTTCTATATTTGTCAGGTCAACTGTCACCCACAGTGCAGGCAAGTCATCCTAGTTAAAGGAGAGACAAAGGGAGCATGTATCAAGCAAGTCAAACAAACCACACTGTCAGCCTTATTCTCTCAAGAGCAAGGGGAATAGCAGTGTATGCCAAGCTACTAGATCTGCTTCCATCCCAGCCCCTACTGCTATCATTGAAGGGCAGATACATTGTAGAGAAGAAGCCTGCCTTCCTTGTTGCCATCAGCAACAACTGCTGATCATCTCCAACAACAGGCAAGTAGGCACAGGACCCCTGGGAGTATCCAGAAGCCCTCAGACTACTAGTCCTACTTCTAGCCCAGCCCTTACTGCCATCATTTGGGGAAGCAATTCCTATGTAGAAGGAGTCAGCCACAATATGACCAGGGGAGATTTATGCTAGGAATCTATGGCTGGTTCAATATTAGAAAAACTATCAACCTAATCGACCATATTAATAACAACAAAAAAGGAAAATCATATGATTATCTCAATAGATACAGAAAAAAAAGCTTTTGACAAAATACGTCACCCATTCCTATTAAAAATGCTAGAGAGAACAGGAATAAATGGAACTTTCCTTTAAATAGTAAGTAGATAACACCAAGAAAATACAGGTGCTCCATCAGCCACCACCACATCATCCATACATGGAACCATTGGTTACAGCAAAAGCAAGGAGAAGTTTTGAATGTTGTGCATAAGTTCACTTACCTTGGTAGTGTACTTTCCAGGGATGTACATATTGATAATGAGGTTGACACACCCATTGCCAGAGCTAGTTCAGTGTTTGGGAGGCTCCAAAGGAAAGTATGGGAGAGATGAGGTATTAGACTGACTACCCAGCTGAAGGTCTACAGAGCCATTGTGCAGATCTCATTGTTGTGTGCGGACAGTATACCACCATCATGCCAGGAAACTGAATTGCTTCCATTTGAATTGTCTTAGGAAGATTCTGAAGATCACCTGACAAAATAAGATACCAGACACTGAGGTCCTTTCTAGAGCCAAACTGCCAAGCATTCAAACTCTGCTTCAAAGAGCGCAACTCTGATAAGCTGGCCATGTTGTTCAAATGCAAAACATATGCTTGCCAAAAGACTATTTAATGGAGAACTCACATAGGACAAGTGTTCACATGGTGGTCAGAAGAAGCAATACAACATTCTCAAGGTCTCTCTTAAGAACTTTTGAACTGATTGTATAATATGGGAGACCCTGGCACAGGACCACTCAACATGGCTGGCCACATAAGAGAAGGTGGTGCCCAATATGAGCAAAGCAGAATTGAAACAGCTCAAAACAAATGCAGGATGTGCAAATTTAGAGAAACCACCAAATGTTCACACAGACTACTTGTGCCTAACCTGTGGTAGAAATTTCCGAGCTCATATTGGTCTGATCAGCCGCATTCAGACATACTGTAATTTGACACTAGCATACTGATCCTAGAGGTCATCTTTAAGAACGAAGTACAGTAACCAACCAACCAAGTAGAATCTATCTAAAACCAACAGCAAGCATTATCTGTAATGAGGATAAGTTAGAAACCTACCCAATAAGATCAAGAGTGAAGCAAGGATGCCCATTATCACCATTTTTATTCAATATTGTACTAGAAATGTTAGCTATAGCAATAAGAGAAGAAAAAAAAGATTGAAAGAATTAGAATAGTCAACAAAAACCAAAACAATCTCTTTTTGCAGGTGCTATGATGTTGTATCTGAAAGGTTAAGGCAGTAAAGATATATTTGAGAATCATCAGCCTAGTAATGGTAATTAAATAGCTAATGAGACCACCAAGTGAAGAAGAATAGAGGGAGAAAAGAAGAGGGCCCAGGAAAAAACCGTGAGGGACAACTGTTATTTGGATGAGGATCCAGCAAAGGACACAGAGGAGTGGTCAGATAACTAGGAGGAAAAGCTAGGAGAGAGTAGTGTACCAAAAACCTAGAAAGGAGAAATATCAAGGTGGAGAGGGTGATAAACAACAGTGCTAAAGGCTACAGAAATTTAAGAGAATGAGGATTGAGAAAAGGACTTTGAATTTGGCAACTTAGAGATCATTGGTAACTTTGGAGAGAGCAGTTTCTTTGAGTCTTTTTTTATGCTTCAATCTGTATTCAGACACCAACAATTCTTTCTCTGGGGATGGATAGCATTTTTCATCATTAAGTTCTTCAGAGATCTCTTGGATCATTGTAGTGCTGAGAATAGCTAAGTCATTCACAGCGATTTTTTGCAATATTGTTGTTACTTTGTATATAGTATATTTCACTGCCTCAGCTCATGCAAGTCTTTCCAGGTTTTTCTGAGGGCATTCATCATTTCTTATAATACAATAGTATTCCATCATAATCACATACAACTTGTTCAGCCATTCCCCAACTAATAGGCATCCCCTTAACTTCTAATTCTTTACCCTCAGGAAAGAGCTGCTATAAATATTTTTTGTACATATAGGTCCTTTTCCTTTTTGTTTTTTATCTCCTTTGGAATATGGACTTAGTGATGGTATTTCTAGGTTAAAAGGTATGCATGGCTTTATAGCTCTTTAGGTACAGTTCCAAATTGCTCCATTCAACCTATAGAATGGTTGAATCAGTTCACAACTCCACCAACAGTGCTTTAAAGTCTTATTTTTCCCACATTCCTTCCAACATTTGTCATTTACCTTATCTGTCCTATTAGGTATGAGGTAATATCTCAGAATTGTTTTAATTTGCATTTTTCCCATCATTAGTGAGTTACAGTATTATTTCAAATGGCTATAAAAACTGATCACATCTTTTGATCATTTATCAATTGGGAAATGGCTCTTATTTTCATAAATTTGACTCACTTCTTTATATGTTTGAGAAATGAGGCCTTTATCAGAGAAACTTGCTTCAAAATTGTTTTCGTAGTTACTGCTACTAATTGTATTTCCCTCCATGCTATCCCCCCCATTTATTTTATTCTCTCTCTCCTTTCATCCTGCCCCTCCTCAAAAGTGTTTTGTTTCTGACTACCCCCTGTCCTAATCTATCCAACCTTTTATCAGTGTCCCCCCCTTCCCTGCCTTTCTTTTATCCCCTTCCTCTCCTATTTTCCTGTAGAGTAAGACAGATTTTTATACCCAACTGAGTCTGTATATTATTCCCTCTTTGAGCTAATTCTGATGAGGGTAAGGTTCTCTCACTCCCTCTTACCTCCCTCCTCTTCTCCACTGCAAAAGCTTTTTCTTACCTCTTTTAAATGAGATAATTTACCCCATTCTATCTCTTTCTTTCTCAAAGCACATTCTTCTCTCACCCCTTAATTTTATTTTTTAGATATCATCCCTTCATATTTAACTCATACTTGTGTCCCCTGTTTATATATGCTCTTTTAAACTACCCTAATAATGAGAAAGGTCTTATGAGTTACAAATATCACCTTCTTATGTAAGATTGTAAACAGTTTAACCTCATTAAGTTTCTTATGATTTCCCTTTCTTGTGTACCTTGTTATGTTTCTCTTGAATCTTGTATCTGAAAGTCAAATTTTCTATGTACCTCTGGTCTTTTCATCAAGAAGGATGTCATGTCATGTCATGTTTGTTTTGGGAGACCTATAGTCATGAAGTTGTCTCTATTCATCCTGTCTTTGAGATCAACATGTTTTGCTTATATTTGCTTTATT